CTATCTGGAATGGCTGTAACAAGGATCTATGCTATTTTTTTTTTTTTTGCAACCTTTTTCTCTACAGAAAAAGGACATTTAATTTAAAGAGTTTAGGACAGTGTTTTTATTTGTATCAGTTTCTTCCAGTGAGAAATTGAGGAGCTTTGTTTTTCCCAGCAAAGAGTTAATTTATTTTTTTGAGGTTCCCCCATCCTGTCCCAAACTGGTTTGCATTGCAGAGCTGCTAGAACAAGTATTGTAGACGATGTACAGAGAAGTAATGTTTTTATAGGTAAAGATAATGTGGAAAGTTAGAAAAGCAGGTAAGCAGATCTTTTTCTGGACACAATCCTTTTTTAATTGCACTTGATGTAACAGGAAACAGACAAAAAAAGACTAACCTCAAGAAATTTCATGATAACTTTGGAGTCTTGGGGAAAATGTTCCGCTATGATGTCCAAAATAATCTCATTTCTTTCTGTGAGGTAATAATCCTGATCCCAAGCAGCTCCCTCTGTAAGTGCTTTTTCTAGTCAAATCCAGGCTGGTACTTCTCAGTGGAGCATGGGATGACATGGTGGCATGCTGTGATTATGTTTCTAGGGAAATTATGATGGATTCCCTCTGGCAGTACCCAAACCCCCATCCCCTTTCACACAGTGTTCCTGGAGTTTAGCATTATATGATCAGCATTAAACTGCTTTTGTATTGCCTGTTGGATAGCATATACTGATTAATATGGAAAAATGTCAAAACTGATAGTAGTTTTGAGAATAACTTTCCTCTTTCAAAGTCAAGGTGATACACCACTGACAGATGACCTTGCCTGTTGTCCTGGTTTTGGCTGGGATAGAGTTAATTTCTTCCTAGTAGCTGGCACAGTGCTGTGTTTTGGATTTAGCATGAGAATAATGTTGACAACACACTGATGGTTTAGTTGTTCCTCGGTAGTGCTGACACTAGTCAAGGATTTTTCAGCTTCCCATGCCCTGCCAGGAGCCCAAGAAACTGGGAGGGAGCACAGCCAGAAGAGTTGATCCAAACTGCCCCAAGGGCCATTCCATACCATATGACATCATGCTCAGTATAGAAACTGGGGGGGTTGGCCGGGGAGCAGCGATCGCTGCTCGGATCGCTGCTCGGGAACGGGCTGGGCATCAGTTGGCGGGTGGTGAGCAATTGCATTGTGCATCACTTGCTTTGTATATTTATATTATTACTACTACTATTTTACTTTATTTCAATTCTGAAACTGTTCTTATCTCAACCCAGGAGTGTTTCTCTTTCTCCTCTTATTCTCTCCCCCATCCCACTGGGGCAGGGGGAGTGAGTGAGCAGCTGTGTAGTGCTTAGTTGCTGGGTGGGCTTAAACCACAACACCTGTGTTGGAGGCATGCTCCTGAAGTGTTTGACATTCCATGGGATAGCAGGCAGTAAAGAAATGCAGCTTTTTTTTCTTGAAGCTATTAGAATGCTTTGTCCATTCATATCTGCCTTCAAAAGCCAGTGGTATCAATTACCGAAGGATGTCAAAATGATTGGAAGCAAACTTCAGTCTAGAAAATCAAGCTTTTGCAGTAGACATTAATTTTCTTTTTTGTCATTTGTAGCCTGGTGCCTCGGAGAGGAAATAACCTCAATATAATACATAAAGAAGCTGCTAAGAACACAAGAGCGGCAGGGGCTGCTTTAGCTCACTAGATATTTAAAAATGAAATGCACATATTCTTTATTTTGTATTAATACACTGTAATTGCTTTACAGAGTCCAGCATATCAGTTGCATGTAAATACTACAGATGAACTTGCCAAACTGGAGCTCACAAAACTAGTGCATTTATCCCAAAGCAGAGACTAAACCCTCTAACTCCTTGAAAAAATACATTAAAGAACATACCACACACACATATTGCACTTTTCTCCATATGAAAATTTTACCCCATATACATCACACCAAAGTCTCTTCAAAGGAATCTGTAATACAAGATAATAAAGCTAACAATTACTCTAACAGTAGTGTACACAGTTCTGTAATGTTAGATGTAACAGATTTGAACAAAAAAGCCACTTCAAAGTAGTATGAAGTGGTGCCCAATGGATACTCTGCCATATTAGAAGGCATTAGAAGTCTTTTATTCTAATTGGCTTAAAGGAAACTACGTGAAATGTTAAATATGCTTTTGGTTGAGGGGAAGAGTCAGTCTGAACTACATTAAAAAACAGCGTAGCTTCCCCCTTACCAGCACTGCAAAGCTCAAATGAGCTTAGACTAGTTGGCACATTCTGATAAATGAATTGTAGAACTCAAGAACAGAATTATTTTTGAGTCCTGAAATGTACAGTATCCTGGAGTTGGATGGGGAAGGAAGTGGTTATAGTTATGGCAGTAAACCAGCTCCTGGAGCAGAACTGGGCCTGTCTCCATAGGTGGTGTGTGTCCTGTTAGCAGTTTTCACTGCATAGCTCCTCGAGTGCTTGGTCAGGCATTAAAATTCCAGAAATTGTTTATTATGCTGTGGGGTAGGGAAGAGGGAATGAAAGGACAGGACTCTTTGTTGCCTCTCTCTTTTTTTGCAGTAGTGAAATGCCAGGTCTGTTATGCTGCAGTATTTGTCAAGTTGTTTCCCTTCCCTTTGTTAGTCACTTAAGGTGTCATAGGGGTTTCTGGGTTCCATAGCCATTTACTGTGTCGGATGAGTTTCCTTTTGAAGTGAAACCACACAATAAAAACCTTTTCTATCTCAGCTATTTAAAGTTAAGCTTTCTAGCTCTCTTTATTCTGCATCACATAAGTAGTGTATGGATGTGATTCCTGTTCTTTACACTCTCCTTGCTGATGCCTTGAGAATCACTGTGGTATCAGAGGTAGAAGCTGAGTGCTTAGGGATTGAGTCCAGCTGCAAAACTGGACCGGTACCAGAGCAGGCTACATAGCAACAGGATTTGCCTCTCATTGTAGTATACAGGAAGCAAAGCGCCTTCTTCCAGTTGTTAAACCCTGCCCTGCTCACACAGCCTACAATGCAGTGACTGAAGTCCTACTATTCCACATTTAAATGTGGTCTTATTGCTGTAAATACTGGCTGGTTATCCACCTTTCTACTGAAGGAAAAGAGAGCAGCTTTGAGAACTCCTTTTCCTAGCTTGGTAGGATCTGTGATTTAACAAATACGGAAGAACCAACATACCAGAAGTACCTTTTTGTTTGTTTCTTCCTTCTGCTACCTGTTCAACTCATTCCATTTTTAAATCACCACATGCCCTGAATACCCAAACTTTTGAGTTTGGTGACTGCACCCTCATTATTTGTAGTATCAAAGACCTTAACTGACCAAACTTCCCAGCAAATGGTGTTTTCTACACATCATCAGCACAGTTTCTCTGCCATTCTTTGTGCTTTAATGAATCTGCAGTTGTGCTTAATGTTTGCTTAGAAAAGGGCTGAACTGTCTAGCTGTGAGCCTTGTTTGTCTATCATCCTGTAATGTCCCACAATACTTCAAGGCTAGACACAAAACGCAAACTAGAGATCTAAACTTTCTGCAGATTCTTAATCCTCCTATGACTCTCATTTCATGACGGAAAGTCCTGGAGACACAACTGCTTGCTGAGTTTAGTATTTCTTGAAATGGTTGATACATCAACGGTTTGTGATGCTAAATATTGCTGTAATACTTTCAATGTTATATACACACGAACAATCAAAACACTAAAAAAGTTAAACATTATGTTCCACATGGTGGAACGTGTGCTCTGAAGGGACTTTGGCTATAGCAAGGACATAAATGGGGTACTGTCTACTTTCTTCAGAAAAAAGCATATAGGCTGATAAAGAACTGAAAAAGGCACAGCACTATCACTTCACAGGGTTTTTTTTTTTTTTAAGCTCATTGTTTTTATCCTTAAGTTCTAAAACCCTAAATAATTGTCCAAATATACAAAGCTCAATAAACCACCAGCAACACATACTGCAAATTCAAAACACAGTTTGTTTGCTTGTCTTTAAAATGCAACAGAAGGACAGATGGATCCTTTCCAGTGATTGGAACTTCTCCAAGACAGAGCCCTCCACAAAGGCCTGCCTGCAAAAAGGCTTGATTTCAAAAGCCACCCAGGTGGTTTTTTTTGTTGTGTGTTTTTTTGTTGGGTTTGGTCCGCCCCACCCCACCCCCCGCCCGCCACTGGCTGCAGCTCTTGATTTTTTTCACGGTACTTCTTACCTTCTATCTCTCTGTTAGCTAATCCTTTATCCTTTAGTATTCTGATCCCCACTCAGAGGTCTCTACAAACCACTGTGTGACCTGTGTCAGTTCCAGGTATCTTTTGACAAAGTCAAGATGTCACTTGGAAGAAATCCAGAAGCTTCCCTTAGTGAACAATTAAGAGTTCCTTGGCAGGCTTGGGAGAGACTGCTTACTTGCTAGCAGGAGGAAGGGGAGGCTGCCTGAGATGCCTGGTGATCTCAGAGACTTACCATGGAGTAGTTCCAGATCAGTAGCTTAACCAGCAATTGGATGCCAAAGTGCAACTTTCCTTTAATTCCACCTCATGCTACTGTTTCAAGAGTATTACAGTTGCCATCAGCGCAGACCCAAATCTACCCTGAATTTCAATGAAAACTATTGCTTTTATTGCCAAGAAGTACAATACAATGTGCACTCATTCTTGTTTCTCCAAGTGAATGTTAGAGGAATGCTGACAACCCCCCCAATTTTTTTAGAAGGAACTATTTCCTTCCTCTAAAACTCACTTTTTTTGCCGCCTCCTATGCAAACTAGTTCATTATAGGATGAAACTGCACTATCTGTTCTCTAGCCCCTGCCACCAGCAAGAGGAGCTAGTGGCCAAACCGCTTCTTGCCACCTTCTGCTTTTTTTGCAGTCAGGTGGATATTTAGTTCCCCTGTTAATTCAGGGGTTGAAAAATTACCATGAACTGTGGGGTAGGAACAAAAACCAAAAATTCACATGCTTCTCCATTTGTCCTGTCTTCCACTCTCATGTTAGTCACCCCATGGTATTAATTCACCAGGACATAGCCACTGTGCTGGGGATCTACAGTCTCCATCATTTCACAATCAAAGAGTCCAGGCAATTCCGAGAGGGTTAATGCATCATAGTTTGACTGGGACTCGTGAGATGCTGAGCTGCTCTGGCTGTCAGGCAATGCTACACTGCTCTGTTGTGCTGGGTCCATGGAATACTGGCACTGGTCTGGGTAGTCTGGCTCAGAAGAGGTGACAACAGGCAATTCACAAGTCTGATATGAATATTGTAAGGACTGTGGTGGCGGCTGCACCTGAACTGGTGATGACAACCGCGATGGGCTGGTGATCTGGGAGGGTGGCAGTGGATCCAGCTGCACCTTCTGGTATTGACTGAGGAAGGGGTCGTATTGCATTTGTTCCGAGGAAGGCTCCATCACAGGGCTCAGAGGCTGCTGCAAGCTGAACTGGGTTGATTGCTGCTGCTGCTGTTGTTGTTGTTGCTCCTCCTGGCATGAAAGTGGCAGTTGACTTGACCGTGAGTATGAGCTCTCAGCTATTTGCATCTGGTTAAAATAGGCCTGCAGCTGGGACTGCTTCTGGAGAAAGAGTCTCTTCTGATGCAGCCTGAATCAAGGACATAAACAGCAATTATTTTCACCTTTTGAAGTGTTAAGGTGCTAGCGTAAGTCCTGCATGCTAGTCACTCAAACAGTTCCAGCAGTGAGTGAAGTACACAACTGGAAAATTCCTGAGCAATCTTGTTCATTAAATTTTACAGCAGACCAGAATCTTCACCTTTCAGCAAATGCGCAGAGGCTGAGTTTGTAGATCTCCTTTTGATAAACTTTTTAATCGCCTAGTGAATTCTTTCCTGTGCAATCAGGTTAACCCCATGCATTGTTTAATTTTGTTTGCTAAGAATAAGATGCATTGTATTTGTATTTTAAACCTGCTATTCACTGCTCTGTGGAACTTGGGAGCTGAAGAAGACTTGAGTATTGCTGGCTACTAATGGAAATGAACAAAGTCTCCTTCTCCCCCGTATTCTTTTTCTCTGAACTGCTCCCTATGACTTTTATGAAACTTCATGGTTTTGACTCTTTGCAAACAGTGAGAATTTACAACGCAATGCAAGGTTATGGCTACCTTTGACATATTCCTGTGATATGACAAAGTGGAGGTCTCCTGCCAGCCAATTCCCAAAGCATGCACAAATAGGAAACCTACTACTGATGCAAGCTGACAACGTTCAGAAAATTAATCTGTTGCTTCCCAGCTTATTTCTCTATGCAGACCTCCTATTCTTAAAAGGAGTACACCAAGCTGCTCTCAGTACTGTTAGTTAAGTTCTTGATTAGGACTAATCAACTCTGCAATTGTCAGGAGTGGCCATAAGCTAGAAAGTAATTACAGATTGCATGCTTTCTTGAAATCAAGTAGTATTTTTATACCTCTGTTCCTCGGTCTTTTTACTCTACACAGCACGTAGCTAGGTTATTTTCCTTTCACTTTCTGTGATTCTTTTGCAAAACTCAGGGACAGTAACTGTCTTGCTTCCTTGTTTGATGATTACCAAATGATGCGTTCATAAAGAGCTTACAGCCCTTTAACTTGGCAATTAAAATCTTGTCTGCTATAGTATGTACAGTTATAAGGGGGCACTTCAAATCTATTCACTCTTTACTGTAACTTTTTCAGAGGGGTGTCACTTCTAAACTGATCTTATGTGACAAAAAAAAAGTTGATTTACTTTACTGTAAAATTATTGGGTCATGGGAATGAGACAGGAAATAGAATCATAGAATCATAGAATGCTTTGGGTCGGAAGGGACCTTTAGAGGTCATCCAGCCCAACCCCCTGCAGTGACAGGGACAGCTTTAACCAGACCAGGTTGCTCAGAGCCCCGTCCAACCTGGCCTGGGATGTTCCCAGGGATGGGGCCTCCACTGCCTCTCCGGGCAACCTGCGCCAGTGCTTGACCACCCTCATTATAAAAAACTTCTAATGTCTAGTCTAAATCTATTCTTCTTTAGTTTAAATCCTAATACCTAAATGACTGCAGGGCTTCCCAGCAGGCAGAAATACACCATCCATATTCTGACTTACGATAAACACTGTGACATGTAGGCTATAAGCAGTGGGTGGTTGGGAGGCTGAGGGTGGAAATTAAGTACAACAATGTAAGTAGTAGGGTAGCTTCCTCCTACGCTTCTATACGCCCATTAGCACTAAATGAAGCATGCGGGTGTTTGCAGTTTACCTGCACCCTAGTAGTGTTAGCTACTAGGGTGACAGGGAGATAAAGCTCGCAGCAGAGAAATTTGGAAACGTGTGGCAGGTCTGTTGCCTCTCTTAAAAGGAGGACTGTGTCCTTACCAATTTTAAAGTGAAGCTTTCCTTTTTCAAATAATTTCTAAAGGGACAAAGATTGTCCCAGTTCTTTTGTTACTCTTGAGAGTAAGAATAAACAACTTATCTGCATAGTTTGGAAGCTTCTTACCTATGCTCCTGTAACTGCTGTTCCAGACTCCGGGGCAATTCTTTGCAGTACAGCTGGCAAGCATTCTGACCTTTTGATAGTAGAGTGGGTTTCTGCAAGAAAAGCAGTGCTGTTTTTACATTGCATTTGATTTAATGCATTAGTCCAGAAAGCAAGCAAAAGAAGATTGTCTACCCTTATGACAGTGTAACTGCCTGACTCCACTTCCAGCAGCTGTCAGTAGAGCTGCTATCTAAAACCACAGCTACTACTGCTCATTGGCTTCTAACCCTTAGACATAGAGTATCTTTGCATGATAGATTGTACCATAAAAATCCATAGAAAGATATCTTCCCAAGTGAAAGGGAAGCTGCATAAAATTGGTTTAAAAAAAAAAAAAAAGAGGGGGGGGGAGAAACAGTAAGCCCAGGGGGTCAGAAGTGGCTCCTCAGATGCTGATGCATAACCTTTATGGGGTGCAACACAGATAATAGGTATTCACTAGCAGTTACTTCTAATTGCTTTAATAACACTGTACAGTAACAGACTGAGTAGGAGAACAGCAGTAATATAGTATACTTTTTGCATAATTAGGGTCAGTGTCTGACAAAAGAAAAATATAGCATCGTTTCAAATTCAGCTGACTCCACTAATTTAGCCTTTGACCGATTTTTCCTGAGTAATAAGATCTAAAACAAGAGTCTCCTGTGTAGTAACAGCAGCTGGTTTAATTCAGTGGAGGGGAGGTATGGTACCTGGAGCCTGTGCTGTAAGTACTGCATTTCTAAGCTTTGCCGCCTGGATAATAATGGGGGATGTGCACCATTAGGGAAAGCAGATGCAGCTTCCTGCTGCTGCTGAGATGCTTCCTCCTGCAGAGAGAAGAGGAACAAGTTTCATCCCCAGAAAAGGCTTTTCTGCCTCAACCCCTTCTTTAAGGATTTTGCCTGACAGATGTTTCGTAGCTGCCATATGGACTGGTCTCTGGTGTCACTCACCACTTTCACTGACTGCATGGTGAGAAGCCTAAATTACAAAGCTTTGAACTATCTGTGCTGGAAAATGGCAAGGGCTTACATCTGTAACTGGAACAGCATTACATATAATGTATTTTCTGACTTGCCCTCTGAAATAGTGCATGTACAGGGTGCATCTACACTCTGAACGTGCTTTCATGCGGCTCTCGCTTCACAGCAACAGAAGGTGAAAAGCTTTCAGTAGTGGTGGACAGGATACGTGTGGAGTAGGCATCTCTAGCAAGCTGGGGAGTGCTGACATGGGAAGGGAATGTCCTGAGAACACCATGAGCACTGCAGCATGTTTACATCAAGTGAGAGATTCTGTGAAAACATTGCAACTTTGTGGTTGTCAGAACTGAAGTTTTCCAGCAGTCAGAAAGTACCAGCTGGAGCTTTAAGAACAGTAGACTTCATCTGGAACATTAGGTGCTTACAGTGCCTCTGTACTTCTTACCCATTTTCTTCCTGGGGTTTAACAGAAACTTATTATGCCTGTTTGCTGTGACCTGTTCCATTTGAAACAAGTAACTAGGGAGCTGGTAGAAGCTATTTAGCACTTCACTATGCAAATCAGGCTAACAGTTATCACTAGGCTTTTGCACTTCTTACAGCTATACCAGACCAACTCCAACAGGGAGAGATGTTATTGGGCTTTGTTAAATCTAAAACATCCTTCAGATTAAAAGCAATAATAAAATCTTGGATTCTGAAAGCTAACAAGGCCATCTCACTGACACCATGAGGATGGTAAAGGCTAGTCTGCAAATGCCCATTTTCTATTCTGCAAAAGACAGAAAGGAAAGAGGGAACTTTATCTGTGAAAGTTAGCTCTCTCCAGATCTGCAGAACACCTTATCCCCTCCTCATCTGTCCCAAAGCATTAACACCTGAAAGATGGAGCTTGGTTTCTGGTTTAAGTACCTGCGGAGGACTATTAATGAGGTCCTGCAACTGGGTGGCGGTTGATGTCAGAGAAGGTTCTTCTTCTGATCCCATCTGTTCATACAGCAACTGGACTTTGTTCAGTTCCAGGATTCCTTTGGTTCGTGCCAGATTCTGGAGGTGCTGTCTAAATGCTACAATTCCTGGAGAAGCGTTGAGCAAAACGGTTTTCAGCGTTCTCAGAAAATCAGTTAATTTGTATCTGGTTAGCACAGCAAATGTGAGATAAGCTGAGTAACAACCAAGTCACAAGGTGGCTTGGTGCTTCTGTGTATGGAGTACATTTACTACTGTGTCTAGGTATAACGTGTCATGACAATGCTTGTAATTACCTTGTGTGAGGGATGTGTCAGAAGCTCTGCGCCCCTCTCGGAAGCTGACAGGAGAGCGGTTGTGGGCCTCACGCTTTTGGGAGGTGAGTGCTTGCATGGCTGGATTGGCAGGTCTCAGACCTATGAAAGGTGTTGTCATTCTTGGTGCTTGCTGGTTAGTTAGCACCATTTCTTTCAAGGAAGGGGTGTCTTCCAGGAATTTAATATCTCTCTGAATGGATCCCATGTCATACTCTGAATCAATACTGCTCAGAGATGAGTTTTCATCCAACGAGTAGACTTTCCCTGTGACAAAAACCAAAAGCCAGAATAAAAGGAAAGTGCAGCAGTAATTTAACAAAGCAAAGGAAGTGCCATAGGCTCAAGCTATTCCTGCCAACAGTGACTGTCTTAAAGAAAACAAAACAAAAAATCAAGTTTCACAGAGGAATTGTAATTTAACAATTGCAGCACCAGAACAGGGATTTGGTACTGGTTTTTACATTATCGCAGTGGTAAGATGCTATGCGGGTGATATTCACTGGCTGGCTGGAGAGTGTTCAGGTGGGTTTTTTTTCCCCCCCACAGATAATCCTGACAAGACTGTAGCTTGAGCTGAAAGGCTTGGTCACCTCGCTGGTTTTGGAATACCTGAGAAGCTGGAGGTTTTTGTTTCCCCATGGTCCTCCTCTGCCAGCGCATCTTTGGGGGATGAATCATCTGGGGACATGTAGTTACGTGAAAAAGAACAAGCCAACTTGCCAGACTTTACTAGTTGCTATAGGGGCTGTACATGACTGTAGCCAGCTGTGTATTTGTTGCTTTGGTTTTACACTGTCTGTACAGCAGGTTTTGGGGTGGTTTTGGTGTGTTTTTTTTTTTTTTCCCCTTTGCCCTTTATAGCAAATGCTAAGTAACAAAACCGAGAAACTCTGTCTTGTACTAGCCACTCTTAAAACCTAGCGTTTTTCATCCTGGGCTTATTAGATCCAGTGCCAAGAGCAGGAAATGAGCTTTGAGATGTCTGTGCTAACTTCTGTACCTGTGCCTGGCATCATCACTAGCTGATTGGTAACTTCTGCCAGAGTGTGACGCCGCTTCCCACAGCGAGCTGCTTGGAGGGCTGCGAATGCCTGTGCAGGGTCATCTTCTGACTCTCCTTCTGCCTCTATTCCTTCATCAATAGAAGTTTCCATCATGCTGGTAGGCAGTGATTGACATCCTTTCCTAATCACCACGGGAGGTACAGGATCTAGCAGGCAGCCATTTACCTAAGTGGCACAAGGAGGAGGACAGCTTTCAATTATGTGCACAGAGCATCACCTCAAAGAGCAAGAAATCTCTGCCTATCATATAGACTGAAGGCAGCCTGGGTACTTAAAATGCGTGAACCTCCCTATAAGCTACTGAGGCAAATAAGACTTGTTAGGAATTGTACATGACAAACAAATCCCTCCAGGTAGGATCACCACTGACATTCTCTTAGTACTCAACTCCCTAAATCTAAATACTCCTATTTCCACAGTACTATGTTCTCCAGGGCTGCTATTTTTTTTTTTTTTTAAGAGTTATTAAAAACCTCTGCCAGCTTAGTCACAAATATAAAATATTTATGGAACGTACAATATTATTGTTTCCCCTTACTATTCCTACTGTGCTCATTTATCATGCTCAGATAAGCACTATGAAAAAATAGTCTTGTATTTAATTCTGCAGCATTCTTGCAGAGATGTGTTCAAGAATAATACAAGAAATGCACCCTTTCCAGCAAAAAGTCCATTTGATTCATGGTGCTCCTCTGCAAACAAAGGTTGCCTAGAGAAGCTGTGGAATCCCTCTCCTTGGATTCATTCAACTTTGAAGTTAGACCTGCTTTTAGCAGGAGGTTTGGCTAGACAGCCTTTAGAGGTATTTTTCCAACCTAAAATACTCCTAGGACTTTAATTCTGTTTTTATTCTCCAAAGCAGTTTGTCCTGAATCCTTTTGTGCCTTAACTAATTCTTTGTCATATGCAACTACTTGGGTTTTGAGGACCATGGCCTGCACATGTGCTGTTTTGGGGTGGGTATTCTGTTCTGTAATACCTTAGAAGCTCTAATTTGTGTCCTGTTGCACAAGTCACTCCTACCATTTTGGTATGATCAGGTTGGGTAAAATATGGATGAAACACCACATTCATTATGCATAAAACCTGGCGCTGCTACAGGTGATTTTATGTAAAACTGTCAATGAACCATTCCTGAATTTTGTTCAAAGTTCTTTGGTATTTTGAAAACAAGCGTGCTTAGAAAAGAAGCTGTCAGCAAATGGCCTTGCAAGCAGACTATATGGTAGTACTCTAGGAAAATATTTAAAGCAGTATCAAGAAATAGCTATAAATATTTTGAGCGTCATTAAAACGATGATGCTTGCACAGGAAAATTCTGGATCTGCTGCCTCTATTTTAATGTAATGGATTATATCTTTAAGCTTAATTTCTTGCACACCTTACTTTCCATTTGTGACTTCCCCATTCAAATGCCTTCTACTGACTGGGCAGCAAAAGCACTGGGAAGACTATTTTGTGAACTGCGGGAAAGGAAAAAGAGAACCAGTACCATGTGGACAGTTGGCTCTCTGCAGTTTACCATGACACATGGATCAGAGCTTGGAAGTCTTTAACAGACATGTTCTATAACACTTAAGACACCGAATATTCCCAAGTCAACTGTGATTTGACACCTCACTGTAGTCACCATTTGTTGATCTATTCTGGCCAAACTACATCTATAAAAGCAAAGGGGGATGCAAAACAAAGTTTGAAATCTTAATTTCCAAATGTCTTTGAACTGCTTTTTGCTTTCCAGCTCTAAGAGACCACACAAGGAGTTACTTAAAACAGTGATGAGAACCAGGGCCACACTCTTAGTGCTGGTAACTAACCAGTAAGTGAGCAATAAAAGCTTCAAAATGGCAAGCATGAAATCAAACCCCTAGCTGGCACAATACAATATGCTGAAATTAAAGTTCTAACAACAAAAGTTTCATGAGAATAATAATATACTTCATAAATGTAATTCTTTTAAGCTATTTCCCATTTCTCACAAAAGCTCTAACTGCTAAGTCCTGTGTATTTCACTTATTCCTTGCTACCCTACAGAGTATTGTCACAGACCTCAAAGTTGCATAGCAAAATGGATCAGGCTGTAGCTTCCTTCGGAGAGCTAAGCTGTAACCATCCATTTGTAAGGCTGTGGAGCCGTCACATCCTATTAGTTGAGTTCAGTTAAATCTGTTAACTGTGGAGGTGTGGAAAGCCTACATGAAGTCTTCCAGTCTGATTACAGGAAACAAAACCCATTAGATGGAGCTGCAATTTTACATGGTCTCCAGTGAAGATTTTACAGGCATTCCTAGTTACAGAAATGGCCTAGCTGAGAACTGCTACAACCTATTTGAGATGCCGCAGTTCTAATAGTTTTTGACAGTCAGATGGTTCTGCTGGCTATTTACCATTCAACAAAAAATTAACAAAAATGTAACTTTTGGCTGGCTGATTATGAAATTGGCAGAGAGATAGAATTTTAAGGACATGGTATTTTAATTGCTTTAGCTGGCAATGGAAGATTATGGTTAAGGTTCCATTATACCTTCCTGTTCTCATTTGCCTGAATTTTTGGATGAGTAGCTGAGCAGGTTACTCTAGATACTCAGCAGTGAACCCTTTGTATTAAAAGCTATATATTAGAAGTCTCCAGGGCTCTTAAAAATATATTTGAGAAGAAGAAGAGAAAAAAAAAACACTCTTGTAGGTTGATTTTTCTTTTACAAATGACAGTGTGGTAAGATTAGGATGTAAGCAAAGAACATGAGGCAGATCAGTGATCAAAAAAGAGACACAGCTGTTGAAAGTTATATGCAAGAGAGAAGTAAAAAAAGAATCTGGCATACATAGAACTCTGACACTCAAAGAATACTTAAATTTAGGGAAATGGGCACAATGTTTTGTACGTGGTAGTACAAGAAATGTACAAATCAAGTGTGTAGATACTAAAGGTCTTTGTATTTGACTTGCTGTCTATCCTGAGAGATTACCCAAGAATGAGAACTTGCCAGAGGCCAGCATTTTGGGGACAGCATATGCTTAAGAGTAAGTGCTTGGGAGCAGGTTGAGAACATCGGGTCTTTGAGTAAAAGGCTACTAAAAGCAGAGAGGAGCAGGGTTCTCCAGCTCACCTATCTGCAAGTGTAGATATACAGGAGGTCAATGAAGTGACATTAGTTTGGATTAGCAAATGCTCTGGCTCCACAGTGCTTTGTGCTAGGATGATGAACTCTACCCTGTCAGAAGAACTGTTCTGCAATTAATTCTTGAAGAGCTACAGCTACTACCACTAGCTGTGCTTTTACTAGGCAACAATCTTTTTTAGCCTTATGATTTTTGACAAAACAGTAGGGTGATTTTAAGCTGTACCTTTGGTGTCTCAACTCTTTCTTCCTCCATAAATGCTGACTCTCCCTGGCAGTTGGATGGAGGGAATGAAAAGGCTTCTGCTCCTGAAGCTGAGGGAAGACCTGGAGACTGCAACAACCTTGCGTTTTGTGAATGCAAGTTAACTGAGGGTACCACAGCTTGTGCCTAAAAAAGATTTTAAGAACTCCAAAACCAGAACAGTTTTAGGTAGAAAACAACATACAAAGTCACACATTAAAAATAAACAATACCTAGCCCATTTCCAAAGCACGAGAAGTATAAGATTTATTTCCTCATTCTTGATGAATTACATTCTTAGTTTTTAGACTTTAAAAAAACTACACATCCCCCCCCAAATACACGAACAAACCCCAAAGGTCATTAAGCTAGCTACTTATTGCACCTGAGCACTTACTAGCAGTAACAACAGTGCTTGGGACCCTTTGGTGCCCTCCAACTTCTGACATGCTAGAATTCCTTTTTATATTCAGTACAAACCCCCTTAATATTACCATGAGGCATAAGGCTAGTTTCAATGACTTTTCTAACATGCACTGATTCCAGCAGGAAAAAGCATGAGAAAGAATAGAGCAGGCTGGATCTGAAATAAGGTATTGTAACAGAGGGAGCCCTGTTGAAGGGAGGAGTGTGTCTCATGGAATGCAAGCATGGCACAATTAGGAAAACAGTGGTTTTCACTGTTTCTTAACCTTAATTTGCTGAAGTGCAGTATCCACACAACTTGCCTGTCCAAAAGGAAACGAGCAGCCTTAGACAGGAGCCTGTGGTGCCACCATGTGTGAAAACAAATTTTCTTGTTACTCAGAATAACTGCAAGATTCCTTGCAGTCCTGAGGAGAAAGTAGTAATATGGCTATAAAGTAAAGGAATTTAGTACAATAATGAACTACCTTCTAGGACGTTTTTTCCTCCTCCTTGTTCACCTGTCTCCACCTGCTTTTAATACATCTTATAATTAATAATCTGCTTTTGAATACTGTGTCTTTCTATCATTAGAACTACTATGCTAGAAAATAGCTGGTTTTAGTCTGTCAGCCATATTGTTCCTGGACCTATGTTTTCATAGCTGAAGTGATTTGGCATTCATTTCAACAGAATCCAAAACCAAATAGTGTCTTGCTGCCTCAAGCGAAAAAGGAGAAGCATGGTTGTGATTCCTCCTGGAAGTGGAGTCCGGGCGCTTGTTCCATACAGCAGTAATACAGTACCTAGGAGGCTGTGAACTTGAGAGAATATTTACTGGAGACCATGATAAATCTGAGTCATCTTAGGCCAAGTCTTTCATGTTTCCAGTTATGCATTAATAGAAATCAAAAGCTATACAGCATCTGTGTATCTTAATGAAACAAAAGAACATGTAAAAAAAAAAAAATCTGAGAATTATTGGAATAAGACATGATAAACTGTACATGACCCTTCTTTCTGAAGACAATTACTAGGGAAGAAGCAGACTGAATAGCCTTAAAGCCTGTGCTGAATCAGTCAGTATAATTAGAGAGGATACTAAGTGGACAGCCTTCCGCAATGGAAGGGCTGGCACCAGATGTAAGGAGCACCCAGAATTGCTCTTGATAAAATACATGTGACATCCTTCAGACTTAAATCAATTAGTGATCACATTGGCTCTATGCACATAGAGAGGTTTTGCAGCCATGCTGCAAAGTCTCCCTTGAAACCGGACTCTTGCAGGGTCACAAGAGGAAAAAGTGGCACAAATCTTAAATAACATTATTTAGGAACAAATCTCTGAGTCTTGAGCCATTAAGAGTCTCATGACAATGATATTTTTATTGGGTACTTAAGATATCACAACGAATTGGCATCTTAACCTGATAGGTTGATCCTAATATTTTTCTTTTGGGTACCTCTTTACTATTCTCTGCCATGCTTCATTTCATGGGAGACAGAAAGTGTATCTAGAGAACAGCAGGGGAGAAAGCAATTTTATTTTCAACAGGTCCCTTTAGACTGACTATGTTTGTAACACTAAGTAAAGCCTGCATGCTTTTAGCCCCTGTGCTAGCACAGCTCGCCATAAATTCAACAGCTCGTTTGTCAATCATGTTAAAGATATTCCAGGTGTGCACAGTTTCCAGAAATGGTATTTCTCTAACATTTTAACCCATGACTTCCCAGCAAAAGGTTTGGAATTCTCAAAAACTGAAGTGGTCCAATTAGAAGCACCAGCACAATATTTTCCCTTTAACTGGGAAAGAAACTGGGAGTTAAGGGTAAATGATGCAGATACCCATTAAAGCCAAAACCAAGCAATTTTTTTTTTTTTTTTTTTGGAGGAGGCAGCAGAAGCAGTTGTAGGAGGCATGCCAGACAACTGATTTGTCATCATACAGTTCTGACAGGAGGCAAATCCAAAGAAGTCTTTCCAAAATGATGCTGCAAGACTACATACTATAGAAATCAGAAAATAACAATGGATTTTAAGTGAATCTATGCAGAAATACCATTTTGAAAGAGAAGAATGTCTTGCACAGCCTTAAGCCCACCTCTGCTAAGAATGAGACCTTACCTTGGCTACTGTCTGCTCAGCAATGGTGCTTGGCCGACGCTGACGAGGATCAAGTCTCTGTTCCACAGGGAAGCTACTCCGATGTGATTTGAGTCTTTCCACTAACAAGTAATAGATAGCAGCAAAGTGGTTATAACTCTTGTTCTGCAGAGACTGAAAGACAGAAGCACAAAAGTGTGGGTGCAGCCAAATATACATTATCTTTTATGTTCTACAAGACAAAGAAGAAGAAAGAATTGCCATCTGGGGCAGGGAAGATACTGAAGAGGCAGTGAGGTAGGCAAACATTCTGAATTGAGAAAGTTTCAAACCAGAGTACCAGGTAAAGAAAAGCATCAACATTAGTTTAGTGGGCAAGCTCACGGGAGTTGGCTGTGTTCTGGGCTGCAATAGTACTTGCAGCTAACATTCAGGTGCTACTCTGAACCCTCAAAGATTTGAACCTGGAGAAGGGACTGAGCTCCAGGACCTTCTGAATATATTGGCCATGCCAAGTCACTAGAAGCAATGGGGAACTAAGCCTCTGCGAAGTAGAGAAACTAGCCTCTTCTAGCAGAAAGTACTCAAACTGCCAACCTCCACAACAGTTTAAAGTATCAACCATCCTAAAGAAAATGATTGTGTTAACTCCATAGGGAGTCTTGACATTTATGTTTGGTAAGAAGCATGATTTGGGATTGGACAGAGACATTCAACTGCTTACTGCTTTTATGGTCTTTTTTGAATTTCATTTTCCACCCTCTGAGAAGTTCAAAATGAATTTACTTTCAATTCTGATTTCCCCTCCTCTCTCTCCACTTGACAAGTAATGATTTATCCAGCCCCACCCAGGAGCAACAGTGTGGAACCTAATGTGGCTCCTTTATTTTACTTCTGCTTAAGAATCAACTTAGCTAGCAAACAAATCTCTAGAAATGACCAATTGTAAGCAGCAGCAAGTATCACCATTTTAACAGGCAGCCCCTATTGGGCTACCATTTTTTATATAGTGCACGCTATATTTCTAAGTGTCCTCTAGCTTAAAGCAATTGCAACACTGAATTTTTATAAAATGTGTGCTTGTTTAAATTAAGTAGTTAATACACTGACAGAACAGTACTTAGTCCTGGGATACATGACCAGAACACATTATTCTTTTCCATGGGTTCTAATGTGGATTCCTGACAAAGAGGAATATCCTTTCTCTCACGGTGCTGCCTTTTCATTGACCTTTTTTTCCTCTATGGGCAAAGGATGCCTTGGACTGGAATAACTGTGTGTGGCCAGCCAGCATAAGGCACACGGGTGAAGTTGTCTGTGGGCCTACTGCACAATGTTTTGCCTGCAGTTTGCATAACGCAGAGACACCTTATCCCTGCCAACTGTTGAAATAAAGAATGTTGCAAGCAACTCGGATAATAAGTTCTAGTCATAAAAACAAAACAGGAGACCCTCCCCCCCCAGGGACAAATACTGGTTTAGTCTATTTTACCTCAATAGTTTTCTGTTGGTCTATTCCAAGGCTATGCATTAGCCGTAAGACCTGCTCATTATACTCTCCAATGGAAGGCTCATTCTCCTCTCCTGGTGGATAAAGAATAGGTCTCTGTGCAGGAACTTCTATAAGCATCCACTTGTGCTCCTTAATCTGAGCAATAGTTAACCGTTTGGATGGGTCTAGGACCAACATTCTTCTAATCAGATGTTCACACTCTGTTGGGGGAAAAAAAAAAAACTACCAACCTGCTAAGTGGTACTTGCATATATTCACCTGAGACCTACCAATACAGAGCATGACAACAGGAAACTGCCTTACTTCTGTGCTACATTTCCTGAAGGCTAAACAATCTCTCAAAACAAGATGAAAAATCACATTAAGAAGGACAAAACCCCAATTTTTAAATGCATAGTATGGCTAACAGTGTCATTCCTTCTACACAGCTCCTACATGGGGGTAACGGTAATATTTAATACCTCTTTGAAGCTGCTTGTGCTGTTCTAAGTACAGTGCTGACATTAACTGACAGAGCTTCAAACGACCTCTGTGAAGTGTGGTGGGGATTAATTAGCATCCTTCTCCAGCAGTTTGAAATAGTGTGTCCAGGCTCATAAAACAAGGAATTGGCAAAACTAGGGTTTAGTGTCTGGATTTTTTTTTTTTTTTTTTTTTAATTTTCACCCTAGTGGTCACAAAACCAAAGGTAAAAATAATGTCTCTGTGGCTGTGAATAGTAGCCAGTGGGTCTGCGTGCTTACCTGTTTTAATTCCAGGACCAAAGCACAATCAGTAGCTTTAGGTGCCAAAATAAATCTGAACACACCAAACCATTGCTGCTTTTTGACTACTACATGCTGGACAGCATTAAAACCATCACATTTTTCTTCAGATCTCAGCTGGTTTTTGGAAATGAAGGCACGAGAGATGAACATGCAGTTTGTATATGACAGGAAGTCAATGTAAGTTCCTTGAGGGGAGCTTATCAATCTGCCATGCATTTCTAGCTGACCATGATATGGCTACAGCACAGTTGCTATGAGTCAGTCCATTCAGGTAGTTACGACAAATAGTTTGCAGAGAGATTTCTGGCTATTTATTTCTGTTTGTCTCTCTTGTTTTCACAGTTTTGCCAAGAGGCGCACCCTTCCCCACTCCCTGCATCACCATGTGATCAGCAAGGGGAGAGGCAAACAGCCTGTGAAACAGCTGATCTACACTGCAGTCACAGCAATGATCGCAACTCACACAAAGGTACCTGGATCTAGCTTGCATGCCTATGTCAGCAAAGCCACAGAAACACGATACGGTTCAGCGCTGGATGCAAAATGTGCCCAGGAAGCTGAGGGGTTGCTGTGGTGCCATAATGGCATTGCTAAAAGCAACCAAGTGCACTATAGCTACACCGTAGTGGCTATTTTCAGAGGTGGTGTGCAGGAGTACATGCCACCAGAAAGAAAATGGAAAACCAGAATGTTTTACACCACAGAACCCTTAACAACAGGGCTGAAAAACACATTTTTAATTCCCTTTGGGGGAAAAAAAAAAAAGCACAGAAAGCAGTATATCTAAAGAGGATTTGATTCAGGAAGGTTGTTTTGAAGTAATCTGGTTTAGAGACCCTTTAATATAGGGAAACTGAAGGACACCATCAAATCTTGTGTAAAAGTGGCCCCACTTGTACTTGTCTGAACAAGGCATGAGGGAGAGTGAAACCCAACAGATGGGTCAATTAAGTGAGGGAGAGATCTCTCAGTTGCATATGGGAGTGCCAGACACATGACAATGAGAACCTGGCATATCAACTGGTTGTGCACTTTTCCTGCTTTTGTTTAGCAGACACTGTCAAAACCCAGGAAACACCCAATCCACAACTTAGGTTTGACAGCGATACTGCTTTCAGCGCATTTTCTTTCCACATTAAAATGCATACGGCCTTGCAGGACGAAAGCTAATTGCTGCACAAATGTGCCTCTCCCCCTGCATCCCCAGATTTCTGTTCACAGTAGAATGAGAGATCCTTCAGCTTCCATTTTGACTCCCTCCCTGCCCATGGGTACAGCGACACTGCAACCTCCATGCATTGTGTCAGGAAAAATGGGTTGGTTTGCCTAGCAGCAGCCTAACTGCAAAGGCATACAGCTCACCTAGGCTTATTTGTGTCTCTGCAGAACGAATAGTCTGCTATACCATAGCCTAGTGTGCAGATGCACCACCCTTTGCTGTATTGCAACAGAGATTATTCTAAAATTTACTCAAGGTTTACCACACCAGGAGCATAAGAGGGCACATTGTTACCTTCTGACATAAAATAAGGGATCCTGAACCTTCCTTCAAGAACTCGTTGCCTCAGTATGGGGAGTGTTGGTCCATCAAAAGGTAATGCTCCACAGACCAAAACATAAAGAACTACACCCATGCTCTGTAAGAAAGAGAATATTCATTTCATTTTTCAAGCTACAAGCAAAGTCTCCGAGGTTGGCTAGCCAAATCCTGTCACAGAAAAAATTAAAATTACATTCTGCAGAAACAAGAGATTTATACAAAAAGGAGTTAGGTTTCTGAAGATCCCTAAACATTAAGAACACTCAGCTAACCCAAAATGGCTAGGCTTGCAGTACCTTGTGCTGATAAGCAGGTAAGCTGAAGTGTAATGGGTTAGAGACTCTGGCTGCTAGCAGGAAGCTCCACGCAGATGACTGAATGATACCTGAAAAGTGAGCCCCAACTTCAGGTGAGAATTAGAGATACTTTTTATTAATCTCAATGTTGTTCAAACAAAAACAAACCTCAAACAGCAGCCACTCAAAATAAGAAACTGTAACCTTTTACATTTACCAATTCGCAAAAGCCTGGGTAAGAGGCACACTGGTAACTTCATGAACAGTCAGCTTCAAGGGAACACCAACTAATAATCCTGCACTGCTCTGTGCAGTGCTGAGCATGAGGTATTATTTAATATGAGCAAAAGGAGACAATCTGGGCAAGAGTTCTCCTCCAACTGCCAGACTCATTTTTGAAAGTATGCAAATGGAAATAGTCTTGCAGTATATGCCAAAAAAATATAGTGCCACACTAGATGAAATAACCACACCAGACCCTCGTGCCAATCAGTTGGCATAGATAGCGACAGCACTGGATTTCTCAAGGGGAAAAAGCAGGCATTCAACATTCACCTTAAAACTCTGTACATACACAGAGATTTTAAAATTAAATATATATTTTTAAAAGTCACTTCCTTCCTTAGCCTGCCAAAAACTGAACTGTGGATTGCTGCATTCCTCCTGCAAGCTCAGCACTTTCAGCAGACCTATTCTGTGACTGGGTGATGCAAAGAGATACAGAATCCTTAACTCGGAACATACGTGAAGATGATGATGATTTTATCTTAAATATAAACATGCGTGCGCTTCTCTTTGTGGGCAGGCAGATTCTGTTAACGATTTAGAGTCTTCTATATTTAAAGAATATTTACCACGGTTCAGAGATTCACTTCTGACATTCAAACAGTGCCTGTGCTACTTGAAATAGTAAGCATAGCTGAGGTCTGCTGTACGTTTATTTACCGGTTACTAAAAGGCTGTAGCCTTGTTTTTAAAAAAAATCTAGCTAGCTACATATATATATGTGTATGTAGATAGAGAGATACATGCATACACACAAATATATGTATCTAAAATGACAGGTTTTATTTGTTAATGCAATTAGATTAATTTAAATTAGATTAGCAGCCGAAAGGTGACTTTCCATGAACTGCCCTGTTTGTATAACAGGCTCTGACCAAAATGTCAGTCCCCATGTTACGCTGTTTGCAATATTATCACTGCAAACCTGATGCCAGAGCAGAGACTGCTTGTACTGTCTCTGGTTGCTTTAGAATATGAATACATCATTATAAATACCAGAATACTAAAATTAAAAAACAAACAAAAAAACCCAAACAAAACCAAATTAGGAATGAAAAGCAGTCTGACAATGTGTGAAGGGTGCACAGAGCTTCTTCAGTTCATTTTAGTCCTTTTCCATCGCATAACAATGTGGGTTGCGCTCTCTGTCCTCTTCCATTAGAGTAGTACGCATGGAGACATGCTTATTCAAAAACATGCAGCTGCAGTAGAAACGTTTGTGGCACAAATGTGCTTGTTTCTAGCTCAAAGAGCAAAGCAGTCATCATCTCTCCTGTGTTTCACTGGCTCAGAATCCCTTTAACCTCATGAAGAACTTACAGCCTTTCAAGTTCAATTCCCACTTAACACAGAAGATGCTAAATGCACTGAAAAAAGCAAAGTTCATGCAATCAGTCAGGAGAGCGTTTGGAGGAGCTACAGTTTTTCCTCTAGTGGGCTAACATGCACCTACAGTGTACATTTAGTAGTCACCTGGAGAGGCAACTTCAATTCCATTCAATGTTAAGAAGCATTTTATGACACTCAAGAAATAAAGCTTAAGAACAACAGCTTGTCCACAGCCTAAGAAAAATCAAAGATGATTCCTTTGTTCCAGCTTCCTAAAAGTTGAATCCAGTTAAAAAAAGAATAATTATACCCAGATATCCAGCTGGGGTCCCTCGTATTGCTGTCCTTCAAAGACTTCTGGGGCTGCATATGGTGGGCTTCCACACCATGTCGTCAGAGGCTCACCACTCTTATAGAAATTTCCAAATCCAAAATCTGTTGAGACATTAAGGGGAAAGTCACTCCACACTCCAGTTGCAGAACAGAGGATAATTATATGCATGGGCTAGGCCTGAAAGCTCATTTTCATTCATGAAAAGCTCTATCACAAATGCTTTTATCAGTACTCACACTGAAGATACTTATTGGGATGCTGAATGTCCTATACTGCTATTTTCATGACAACTACGTAATTATTAAGACACTCTGCAAAACTTCACAACCTGTAGGAGTTTTGAGTAAACTTCTACCAGTTTGCTAAATCCAAGTTTATAAACAGCTATCACTAAAATTCAACAAACTGACAATCATGCATACATATGAGCTTATTTACTTGCCAAGAGATATCTGAGATTCCGTACTGGATCTCAGATTTCCTGACTTTTCTTTAGGTGCTCTCTAGCCTTGAATACACAACAAATTTTGACAACAAAAGCATCAACTTTGGAGATGGGAGGGAGGAGCTCTACCAAAAGCAACAAGCATGGGAAAACACAAAGCCTTTTGCTTGGAAGGAAATTGTGCTACTGGGATTGTCTACAGCCCTTTCAATCTACAACTGAAATTTACCATTCCACAGCTAAGGAGTTCTTTTAAATGTTTCTTTTTATGGCTTAATATGGGACTAGACATGGGTCCCATGGGACTTCAGTATTAGTCACCATTTGTAATAATCCAATAGTGGAAAGCAAAATGACAGCCACTATTGCATAGAGACGTGAAGTCAGATAGAGTCTGATGTAATTTTTTTTAAGCTTCCCCTGTTGCTGCTCTCCCAGGTTGCTTTTTTTTTTTTTTTACTAGAACAATACAGCAAGCAACATTAATATGGAGGAAGCTGGCTTAATGACTGAACTGCAACTGATTATTTTCAAACTGCAGAATTTCAGGTGGCTGCTACCGCTCCCTCGTGCTCCGATCTGTAGCTCTTGCCTTCCACTCCACTCTTACTAGTGTCTTTGGAGCTCTTCACAGCTCAGACCCTCCCGTTCCTCTCATATCCTGTCATCGCTCTTGCCCCCTTTGCTTAGTTCATACATCATTTGCTTTAGCATTCTTTACTCTTCCTGCCAGAATCCTAACAGTCCCTTCCACATCCACTGCAGATACCCATTCTGAATAGTCCTTCCATGATGTGCCTCAGTATTAATACACAAGGCTGTTATTCATCAGGCTTTTAATAAAGGCCATTGGAGCACAGTGTTTGGATACACCTATTCGCACCATGAATCAAAATACTTGCTCCGCTGAAGTCTAGTGGAGTTCTCATGCAACATTTCTCCCTGTTGCTCCCAGCATTAACGCTCTGTTACTGCTTAGTCTTCTATTCCACTTGCGTTGCAGGCCACCCTGTATGATGTTCTGTGACAACAAGTGCTGTTAATACTAAAGCAAAGAAGGAGAAGTTCTCAAGGAGAGCGATCTGATAACAGGGACAAATATTCTTTGGATTTAAGGCTTTTAGGCAAACTGGCTTCAATTCACTAACTGTATCAGCTGTCAGCTGTATCTCCAAAGGAAATACAGAACGGAGCATTGCAAGTGATATGCAAAGACTGTCAAGCACAGCAACATTGTTTATGTTCATCACTGTACTCCTCTGTGAACAATGATTTAACTGTTCCCAGCCACTTTTTCCACACAGGAGCAAACTATGCAGTAGAAGGTTACAGGAAGTTTCTTTTCTTAAGGTGATAATGCTTTTAGCCTTGTATCTAACCAGGCTCCTGCATGCTGGTGTGACTCGAGGAATCCTGTGAAAGTCAACAGTGTTGATAAACAGTAATCAGGCTGCTGATTTAGTACTGTCAAGCGCTGAACACCTCAAAGGTATGTTAATACAATGCAGCGCTGATCAGCAGATAGCAAAACTGATAAACACTGTGGTTAGCAGACACACAGTACGGGTACCACTTCATTTACTTCTATCTGTATAGGTTCTGTTACTCAGAGGAAAGAGCCCGGCTCACTCATCATACATCATGAGCTATAAAATCACAAGAGAACCCTCAGAATCAAAGCAATAGAGAGATATTAAACAAAAACTTACCAGGCTTAGATAAAGTTAACCTGGAGCTGTTTTAGAGAAGTAATATGTAAATTGAATCAGACTACTTCACTGAGCTTAACAGTAAAAGTATTTGGTTGCTCTCCTAACAGAAGGACACAAGAGCTCCCACAGTTCTTTTAACAGAACTCTTCCTGCAACATACATCAAAAATGAACATAGGCGGAAGAAGCAGTTTTGGGAACACCAGAGCTGAGGAGGCTTTTAGAGCATTTTTCTCTTCTGTCTTCCAAGATTTTCCTTAGCACGTAATAAGGTATAGAATCATAGAATAGTTTGGGTTGGAAGGGACCTTTAAAGGTCACCTAGTCCAGTCCCCCTGCAGTGAGCAGGGACATCATCTTCAACCAGATCAGGGTGCTCAGAGCCCTGTCCAACCTGACCTTGAATGTTTGAAGGGATGGGGCATCTACCACCTCTCCAGGCAACCTGTGCCAGCGTTTCAACACCTTCATTGTAAAAAATTTCTTCCTTATATCTAGTCTAAATCTTTAGTTTTAGTTTAAACCCTCTTTTAGTTTAAAACCATTACCCCTTGTGCTGGTGCAACAGGCCCTACTAAGAAGTTTGTCCCCAACTTTCTTCTAAGCCCCCTTGAAGTACTGAAAGGCTGCACTAAGGTCTCCCCGGAGCCTTCTCTTCTCCAGGCTGAAAAACCCCAACTCTCTCAGCCTGTCCTCATGGGAGAGGTGTTCTATCCCTCTGATCATTTTTGTGGCTCCTTCTGCAACTGTTGCCACAGGTTAAGACACACCACCCACTGCTTTAACACCTATATATGAACCTGCAGGAATATTTTTGCCTTTTGAGGTTCCTGCTCTCTGTCAAATTTGGTTACAGGCAAGCAACAGGTTCAGAAGTTACCTGGGAAACATACACAAACAGCATGGTCTCATAGGCCTTTTGGTGGTTTTCATTAATTCTTTTAACTACAAGGTCACTAAAGATTTCAGCAAGAAATCTACTGGACTTAGAAAGAGATTCCAAGTCTTTGTGTCCCACTGGTTAATTCTTATTACAAAGACTACCTCTTTAATACCTTACTCATCTCTGCTTCCTTACTGCATCACACTGCTGACTCCCCATTGTGTTAAACAGAACCACTAATATAAACATATATTTTTAGTTGTCTTTAATGAAATGCACTAATTAATTAGGAATAATAGAGAATCAAGACTATGCAACCATCCAGCTCTCAGTATGGAAATCTCTACAGTGGGTAACATGCACTGTAAGGTAATGAAAACAGTCACTATTCCATTTAGCAGCAATATTGCTGGGGGGCATTCATAATATAAACGGGCCTTTTTTTACATATCTTGTGTTGTACCTTGTGTTGGTGGTCCATTTGATTCAGGTAAGCAACTGCTAACTGTAGATCAGCCACAGTTATACACACACAATCAATGCCATTCTCATTTTATCCATCCTTTTTCCAAAGCTCACGGTAATCTTGAAGGTACAGCTAGGTACAGCAATATAAATGTCTAACCTCACTTAGACCAGTTCTCAGTGGTGTTCTTCCACAAAAAACGCATCTTTAAAAATATTTTGCAACACGCATAAAGCAGCTCTTTGTATTTAGGAATTTCAAGGTATTGATTATGGAATTCGTCTCTCTTATCAGGGGGTTTTATGGTGAGAAACAGCATACCAGTTTTACAGGTGAGGACACTGGAACAGAGAATAGACTAGCCCAAATCCAAGTAACCAACCAGTGACTGACCCAGGCCAGGGCCAAGCATAACTGAAATGCCTGGTCATTCTCTAAACAGCAAATGGAAACCAGTCACTCTCTGCTGAAAACTTTTGCCTCAACATTTCCACAGCCTGAAATTCGATGCTGTAATTCTGCTGTAAACTTTCTGCCACCTTTAATGTACATCCCATACTCTAGGCACATCTCAGTCCAGTGACTCAAATACACCAGGATATAAGGGGAAGCACTAAGTCTCATTTCCTTTTGTAAACACTGGCCTTGCTTATTTTTCCCTCAGTTTTAACTATACAGTCCAGTACTCGGCATATAATTCATCACTGTCTCAACAACTGATCAGAAATTGCCTTTTCTTTTAAATAAATGAGTCATTCTGTGGAATCTTATTACAGAGATTTCTGAATTTGCTATCGTAAGAGATCAAGTATAAAAACAAGCGGGATACTCTTATCAGGCTAGTCCATGATTGGATGATAAAGATACTGGCTTAATTGTCAGCAGCAGCAAGGTTGTGTTGAAAACATAGGAAAATGGGCTGCATCTACTTTCAACTACCTGACCACACACCTGAAACTTCTAGGTCTAACCCAAAGCTGCCAAAAGACTGCTCTTTATTTGTCTAGACCCCTTAAAGAAACTAGGCCAGCGGCTGAGCCCGTAACAGCTGATTCCATACTGGGCTGTCAAAAATTTCTCCTAGGTTGCGCTAACCCCGCAGTTATCCACCTGGGAAGACCTCTAATTTGGATCTGCACACACGTGCTCTGAAAACAGTTATGCTTCACAGACAGATGGGCAGGTAACTGCTCTGGCTCCTTGTACACTCCAGGTAAAGTCCAGTAACTCTGCTGCAATGACAAGAGCTAAATCTCTCTGGTGCCAGTAACTCCCAAGCCATTCTCGTAATTCCTCTCGCAGAAAAAAGTATCCGATCTTTATCTGTCCTGGAAGTGATTCCAGAGTGCCTCAGTGCAGCTACACAGGACATACTCCCAGAGACAGCTGACAACTGCACAAACGCTAACTGCACCATTTGCTGCTGTGTGCAGATAATGCCTAACCATGGGGATAATTTTGGGACATCCACTTCCGATATGCAGCAGAGAGAGTATGGAATAGAATATTGCTGCTCTTTTCTGGAAAGTTCAAAATACCTGTGGGATGGGATTTGTAAGGTCATTATAAAGGGCTAACAATAACAGCAACATGTTA